AGCGCGGCTGCGTGGCTTTACTTGGCCAAATCTCCAGCTCTCTGATTCTCATCCACGCGGACCGCACTGATATGTAGCGCGGCCGCGTGGGCCTTTAGCCTTCACTGGTAGGTCTCTGAATCTCACTGGCGCGGACCGCGCAGAAATGGAGCGCGACCGCGTGGCTTGCATCAAAAATTACCCATTCTCTGAATCTCCTAGCGCGGCCGCGTGGCATATCAGTGCGGTCCGCGCTAGGTCTTCCTGTTCCTCAACTTCACTTGGCCTTTGACACTTGAGCAGGTTTCACTCCGTTCTGAGCCGATCTTTGACAATTGTCACCTTATCGCTCAAACCTGCAATCAAGCACAACTTGTAAGCATTTTAGGACTATTTTGTAGCAATTTGTACAAAAGCAATAGCAAGTAGGGGTATAAATCATGGTAAAATCCCAACTTATCAAACCGCATTGTGAAGGAGCTGAAAGCTCATGATGGCATGAAAAGCAAGAATAAAGAGCCCTCAACTAAAAGAGAAGAGGTGACTACTGGTGAAGCCAAAGCTGTCAGTAAGGAGGTACAACCCAACGCGAATAAATCTTATAGAGGGAATATTACATCTTATGGCAAGAAAGTAAGTCTGGCGCTCCAATATGTCCCTAAAAGGAAGAAAGATGAAGGTGAATCATTTAATCGCCAAGCTAACATGCTAAAGGAGTTAACTCTTCCGGTTAAATGAATTGAGGCAGTAAAGTCGTCCGCAATGCCGCTTGCAGGGTTTGTAGCCCAAAATCGTTTGCAGAATGTGGCACTCCCTACAAAGCGAACAGATGAAGGTTTTGACCCTAACGCTTACAAGTTATTTGCAAAAGCTGGATATAATCCCAATGAGCCGTAAAAGTTAGGGAAGCTCCCATCAGAAGCTGCAACGAGGCAACCACATGAAGGTTTGGGATACAAGCAACCGTCACCAGTGCGCATCTCAATAAGAAGGGCGAGCAGCAATTATATCACTGTAGAAGATGAATCAGCCGCTTCTAACAAGCCTTCTGTCTTTGATCGACTTGGAAGATCACCTGTGAGGACCTCCGTGTTTGAAATATTGGGTCCACTAAAGAAGGGACAAGTTCCATAGAAACTTTCAAAGTATAAGAACACCCACATCACCCAAAATCCAGGAGATCTCTAAGGATTTCCAAAGTTTGTTCCTTCTAGAATGAGGCGACAAACAAAACTTGTGGTTTCATGTAAAGAAGTACTGAAGGTAAAGCCATATACTGTGGTCTATACTAAGGAACGTGATGAAGACGAAGAAAGTGTAGGTTCTTCGTATCATGTTACTGTACAAGTCGAGAATGGCATTCCATCTTCAATGGAAGATAATGCGGAATTGGAGGATGTTTCGCCGTGTTATCACATATCCTTCAATGATGGGGACCCTCAAGAAGATGAAGATGCGAAAGATGCTCCACCTGAACTTGAAGAAGGAGTGAAGACGACAGTTGATGCCTTAAAAGAAGTTAACCTTGGCACCGATGAAGAACCAAGACCCACTTACCTAAGTGTTTTACTTGAAGCTGACGAAGAAAGCACTTATATTGAATTACTCAAAGAGTTCAGGGATGTATTTGCTTGGAGTTACAAAGAGATGCCTGGCTTGGACCCGAAAGTAGCAGTCCATCACCTTGCAGTCAAAAATGGTGCTCG